CATATAGCGAAAATCAATGACCCCCGGGGCGGGGCCGATTTTGACCCAAGGGCTATAATTTGAACAATCTTGGTTAAGGGTCTACCAGATGATGCCTTATGCAAATATCTAAGCTCTAGGCCTTTTGGGTTTTTACAAGAAGGTATTTTAAGTTTTTACTATATGTACATAGTGAAAATCAATGACCCCCCCCGGGCGGCGCCAATTTTGACCCCAGGGCTATAATTTGAACAATCTTGTTAGAGGTCTACTAGACAATGCCTTATGCAAAATATCTAAGCTCTAGGCCTTTTGGGTCTTTACAAGAAGATTTTTTTAATTCATTCTTATAATTCCTTTTGGTTGCCATGGCAACCAGATTTCTATATGGAATGAAATTCTTTGAACAACTTTGGAAGCCCTTCACCCAAGGAACAATCCTGCCAAGTTTGGTTGAAATTGGACTAGTGGTTTTTCACAAGAAGATTTTTTAAGTTCACTATATAATCTATATAACACACACACAAACACACACACAAACACACACACACACACACAGGTGAATCGCTATATGCCACCGCATCGCAGATGCTGCGGTGGCATAAAAATTACAATTTCTTTATCATTCTTTAAAGAAAGCAATGGCAGATATGCTACTGCCATTTTCCAACATAAAAAAACACATATCTGCCCCTTTCATATTTAAAATATGCAGTGACACATATCTGTCCAATTCATACATTGAATTTTACCATGTGCAGTGACACATATCTGCCACATATTTTCACATAAGCAGTGATACATATCTGCCACTGTATTTTTACATAAGCAGTGGCACAGATCTGCCACTGTAACATTTTCACATAAGCAGTGACACATTTCTGCCACTGTAATATTTTCACATCTGCCACTGTAATATTTTCACATAAGCAGTGACACATTTCTGTATTATTGTTAAATGGTGTAATTTTAATGCTATAAAAATGACCTCAAAGAATCTTTATTTCTTTACAACAGAAATTTCAAATAAATCATGACTACAGATAAACAAAAAGATTAGCACCATAATGAAATTATAGAGTTTATTTTGCATAATTTACAATATTGAATTCTTCAGAAAGTGTTTGACAATTTTATAAGCCTGGTCTGAAATAGATATAGAATGGACTAAACAGTGATCTTTGTCATAATTATTTGTCAACAAAGCTTTTCAAAGATGTTTTATTTGTTATTTTCATTTTTAAAACAGTTACATGCTAAAAATCACAGTTAACTTTCTTATGATATCACATAAACAAAGCCCAACCAAAAAAACTGTTAACCTATTTGAATTCTAGGAATTACTGAATAACTTTTGTTTGACATACTGGTAAAACAATCTTATATAAATTAATTAGCTTCTCATTTGGTTGAAGGACCTGTACTGGTAAACTGTAATTGTAATTTGAAACAATTGTAAACTGTAATGGTAATGTGTGCCTGTACATTGTCATGGTATCCAGTAATTGTAAATTTCTATGCTCATGTATCATGTACTGTAATTGTAAGCAATACCAAGGTTGTTAAGTTAACTTGTGATATATATTACTTAGGTTTCCACTAATTTTGAATTGTTACATTCATACATAATTGTAAAACTTTACCATCATTGTTATAAGTGTAAAGAGTAATGGTAAACTTGTAAAGTACATTACTTCTGTAATTGTCAACTGTTATGGCATATTACAGCTTTTTTTTTGTTTGTTTTTGTTTTTAGTTTTACGTCACATCGACACAGTATAGGTCATATTGCGTCGTTCCAGCTTTACTGGTGGAGGAAGACCTCAGGTGCCCTTCCGTAAGCTAGCTGGATAGCTTCCTCACATGAAAGAATCCAAAGTCCCTGTCGGGATTTGAACCCACAGCGGTGAGGGGCAAGTGGTTTGAAGTCAACGACCTTAACCACTACATATAAAAATAGTCAACTGTAATGGTTAACTGTAATTGTAAATTGCTGGAGTAAATTATATATGTAAATTGTAATTGTAATGTAGTTAACTGTAATTGTAAATTATTTAAGAAAATAACTATCAGTTCTTGTAATTGTAAACTATAATTATAATGGTGTAGTTAACTGAAATTGTAAATTGCAAGAGTAAATCACTTCCATTACTTGTAATTGTAAACTGTAATGTTGTGGTTAACTGTAATTGTAAATTGCTAGAGTAAATTACTCTCATTATTTGTAATTGTAAACTGTAACTGTAATGTTCTGGTTAACTGTAATTGTAAATCTCTAGAGTAAATTACTCTCATTATTTGTAACTGCTATTGTAAAACTATTCTTTTTAATCAGTCAGGCCAGTTCAACAGTAGTAAATTCAAGATTTTGTTAATAAGAACCTATCAATGTGCAAAAGAATGTAATTGAAAATATGTAATTATAAACAAAACTCCCAAGTTATTGTATAAGATCACTACATATAAAGGAAAATTAGTCAGCACTGTGAAATATCAGGTGGAGAAGATCTAGTACCAGTCTGTTTATTACAATCTAATTATAGTACAAAATATGACATGACAAAACCAACATAGTGCGTTTGCGACCAGCATGGATCCAGACAAGCCTGTGCATCCGCGCAGTATGATCAGGATCCATGCTGTTCGCTATCAGTTTCCCTAATAGGGTTGGTAAGCGAACAGCATGGATCCTGATCAGACTGCGTGGATGCGCAGGCTGGTCTTGATCCATGCTGGTCGCAAACCCATTATGTTGGTTTTATCGTGACGCGGCTCAAATGTTTTATAATATAAGTATATATGTATTTCAGCACACAACCCTTATGATTTATGGTTAAATAATATTTATCAACCTTTTTCACATGTAAGTAAAAATATAATAGTATACATGTACTATATTTTAAGTGGGGGGAAACTGGAATTTCTGGTTATTAAACACCCTAAATACTTATCTTCACACTAACATGAAAACACACACAAAAAATTGTTTCCAAAGTTAAAAAAACAACAAAAACAAACCAGTTTGTAAAATGAGGCAACATTGTCGAAACCGCTTGCTCACAGCTTGACCTTTGTATAATGGATATAAGAACTGTCAATATCTTAAAAACAAATTTCCTCCAACAATATCGAGTCTGGTTTGAAGGCAGCAAAATGGTAGAAAGCCTTATTGGTGATGAAAGGACGTTACTAAAGCGTGTAAGAGTGCATTCAGAAACTTTAAACTTGTGAGAATGATAATTTTGCAAGCAATTTAACAGTATGTAAAAGTTATGCTACTGACCTGGTATTAATACTGTAATCATAATCAGGCAAACTTTGTAATTAGGTGATATTTTGTAAAATGTAAATGAATTGGAAAATTTTATGAAACAGAAATTCGAGTGAATTTGTTATAATCTTTTTATATATATATCAAAACCTTACAGAACATATTTTGACTCAATGTAACTCAAGTACTTACAGAAATGCTTTCCAAGAAACTGATATCATCAAAGAGCTTTTAAATGGTTTTGAGATTTGAGAATAAAAACCTTATCTTATGAGCACTTCAAGTTCAAAACAACAGATGTTCAGCAGTAAATTATTTAAGGTCCTTTGTCAGATTGTCCACAATTTGCCAGATCTCCTAAATTTTTTTAAATTGCCAGATTCCATAAAATTCTGAAATTTGATAGATTACCTCAAATTTGCCTTACTGAATATAATACTAAAATTTAAAAGGGGCCTAAAATTTGCCAAATTGCCTAAAAAAGTTTGCCAGACCGCCTAAATGCCTTAAATTTGCCAAATTGCCTAAAACCCGAACTAAGATTTGCCAAATTGCTTAAAATCCTAAAATTTGCCAGATTGTTTAAAATCTTTAAAGCAGCATAAACCTTACATCAGTGGCATTGGCAAGCCTTAAATAAAAGCAACTTTATCAATTAATACTATCTTAGCAGACATGAAGATTATGTGTGTGTGTGGGGTAGGGGGACTAAAGGACTAAAATCCTTCTCAATGTACTGTGTGAAAAGGTTTATATGCCAATAATGCCATACATTTAACCAAAATTACAATAATATTGTCTGTCAATAAATTGCTCTACCTGAGGCCTTTGATTTCTAATTATTTAACATTTTTCAAGACAAGATCACGTCGTTTTTAGAAATAGAAATAAAATCATTGCCGAGGCATAATGGGCCTTTAATGCTTTTATATCTATACAAAATTTTAATCAGAATAATCACCATTCATAGAAATCTGGTTAAAACTTCAGAAATGGGAAAAAGTTTTTCCCTCACTATCAAAAATGTGAGATGACAATCCATGGTTCTGAATGAGGCATGATTTAAACAAACTGACAAAACATTTTCAAAGACGTTCTGACAAATTGACAAAAAATATGGAAAAAAGGGAGAGAACCACCCAAACAGATCCTGAAAAATTGAGGATTTCATATATTTAGCCTGCCTATTTGTTAAAATGTTTCATACTTACAATGTATGAATCATTTTTCATTGCCCATTTATATTTTCAATGATAATTAATGATCAGTTAACTATGATAATGAGACTCTTCCAAACAGGTTTTTATCCCCTTAAAGTGTTCAAATATTAACTTTTAATTCTGATCATTAAAATATACTAAAAGACAACTCTTTCCCAAATAAAAAAAAATATTTCACAAAGTCCCATAAAATTTAATTTACATTTTAACATTCAAGTATCTCCATACATTCATAACTTAAACTCTAGAAAAAAAGAAAGCAACTCCAGTGTCATTTGATGACAGAAAAAGAAAGAAAAATGTGCCCTGTTGCAATAAAATGGACATCATATTTATAGACAGTGCAAGAAAATTTATATGGTTTCTTCTGTTTTTCAACTCTTACTTATAACATGTTTTTGGCTATTAAATGAGGTCAAGGGTCAAGTATTAATACAATGTACATCAAAATTTACCATAACATAGCACAAGAAAAAGCATGATACAAATATTTCTAGTCATGCTCTAAAATGATAGCTTAAATTGTTTTAAAGGATGAAAAACTATTGGCAAAAGCCTAAAGAACAATGTGCTACAGTAATGTATTAAATACCTTACATTAACACCACAACTTCTGGAGAATTATTGCAGAAAATAAGTTTATGGACTTATCCATCTTTCAATCAAGACAATTGATTTTAGGGAAAATTTCAAAATATGTAATGGACAGCAAACAGTGCAGACTATGATCAGACGGCACAGATTTGGAGGCCAATAACATTCTGCGACAAAAAAGTCCAAAACAATTTTTAAAACAAGATCTCTTGTATTTTAACATGAAACCCTACTTTGTTTAAAGTATAATAATATAACTTAATAGAATATAACTCCAATAAAGTTGATTTTTGATTTTTTGTGTAGTCCAAAAGTTTTTAAACCTACAATATGCCATTTCTATCAATAATAAAAACCCAAAATAAAACATAATACTTTATTAAATTTTACATTTTGTTGAATTTATTTTTACTGTAAATTTCCAATACTTCTGCTGTATTGCACCTTTCTTATATGTCCTGGAAATAATTCTTTCACAAGAAATGGTACAAAACATTTCCATTGCAGCATTATATTAAAACTGATTTAAATTCCCTATATTATTATAAACAAGCCATTGAATTGTTCAGGAAAATAGTAAAATTTTCATGAAGAATTTTAAAATTTTTTCAAGGCTTTTGTGGTTGTTGAAGAAAAAGTACAACCTACAAATTTAAATGTTCAACACAAACCCATGAATTTAAACAGCTCACAAAATTAAATGAATTTACAGCACATATATACTAAATAAGATCTAAACGTTGTGTAGCCTTATCTCTGTATAACTTCCTTTATTTCTTTATTCACTGATTGGATATCACCGAGCAAATTCCCGCCACCAGAGGGTGTCGAGCTCGTAAAAGTTTTCAAATTCTGCTGCTGCGACTGCAACCGGGACAGAAGTTCTTTCGTGTGAAACTTCGCATGCGGAGGCAAACTATCTATAAACACAGAACACATTTCATAAAAAGATTGCATTTCCTCTACGAGCTCCATAAAATTCACACTTGATTTGTTCCCTACAGTTGATAAAGAGTCTATACACAATTTTAGTCTATCTGAAGCACTTACTATAGTTTCTTTTGTTACTGGTTTTTCAGCTGGATCTTCGGCACTCTCACCATTGTTAAAACTTTCAACAACTGATTTGTTAGAGGTTGGGGTACCTGCCCCAACCGGTTTAAGTCCACTTATAATCGGCTTTTCGTCCGGAGCTCGAGGTTTATTTGGTACATCTGGTGGAATTTTTAAGTTTTTGTCATCTTTGAATGAATCACGCCCCTGCTCTCCACGCTGAAACGGCCTAAAGGAACTAAATTCAGAACCCACAGGTTGAAACTTTGCTACTTTTGATAACACAGAGGCATTAGAATTAGTGTCCCCACCACCTACATTTGCTGAATCTCCAGCCTCTCTTTGAAATTCTTCAGTGGCGGAACCAGATCTGGGTTTCTGTTGAAACGGAGGTCGTAAAGGAACTTTATGTTCCAGCGAACCCCGTGTTCTCGGGTCAAATACTGAATCGGGGCTACTTACAAGAGTGGACTCGCTTGACTGACTTTGTGTCAAGTCTTTAGGACGATTCTGTCCCCCAAGTTTTGGGGAAGAAACAGGCCGATCTGGAGGGCTATGAATTGAATGTTTATCAGGTTCCTCTAATTTTAACACATTTTCAGTTTGATCTAAGAAAAGTCTTGAGAATCTAGGACTAGGTTTTGGTCGTTGATCACCAAGAGGTGATTCCCTCCCCTCGACAGTTGGCTTTGAGCCAGGAATAAGGTCCGATTTTTGTCGCTGTAGACCACTGTATTGAGCTTTTGGGTTATCTACTATCACATGTGAGGACTGAGATTTCACCACCGCCGAGGGTCTAACGTTTGATTCCTGTTGTATACCACCACCCTCGTTATCACCCCTAGCACCCATCGACCCCGATGTCACTGAAGACACGCCCACAACCCCACTTGTATTGCCCGCCAAGTTATGCTGAACCCCGTTCGGATGTAAAACCGGACACGAGGAAACACTAGCGGTATCTGTACCTGAGTCATGATCTTCTACCGTAGATAATTCCCGATGTTGCTGAGCAGCAGCGTCACTTTGCATCGAAGCAAGATATTCACCAATTCTAACGCCCTTAGGAATGGTTCCATATCTATTAATAGTCTGCGTAACATTATTTACATCTAATTTACCTACAGTAACTATTTCGTCGCTCTCAGCATCCATACTATGACTGGTATTCAATTTTGGACGCTCTATACGTTTTTTACGTAAACTCGCTGACTGTGGCAGCGGTAAAGGCACCTTGGGATACTGCTTTCCACGGAAACTGGTTGAAGCCACGTGTAAATTTTCATCACCTGTACTAGTTCCAATGTCCACACTACGAGTGCCAGCAGATTCATTAGCTGCTTTATATTCCTGTTTAATCATTGGGTACGAAAATTTTCTCCCACTGCTACGCGGGTCTTGTCCCTGTTGCAGTCGGGGAGATTTAGTATCATTTGAACGAGTGGCTGTCTCTGTATTTATCATATACTTCGACTTGTCTATAGCTAAATGCTTTAAACTGTCACTACTTCCAGTTCCACGTGAAATCCCAGAATCCTCCATTCCAGTTCGAGGGTCGCCACTTTTTGCTCCTCCCGCTTCCTTAGAATTATCTGCTCTCTGGAAGCCCTTCTGACTTGGGGGCATTTGTGGAATACGTGGAGCATTAATAAATTCACTCAGATCTGTAGTATTTGCAAAATTGTTCGACTCAAACGGATATTCCGGTATTGTGCTACTTTCAATTTTAGCTTTTTGTTTTTTCATTTTGGATTTCAACTCTGATTCAGGGCTCTCTTCTTGTTCTTTGATGGCAGAAACCGTGCGACGGGGAGGGGTTGGTGCCGAGCCCTTCTTCCGACCACCTGATTTACGTCCAAGAATATCACTAACTTGCTGAAGACTAAAATCTGTATCAGGGGGAAGAACTCTCCTTCCAGCTGGTGGTGTTGGACCTGAGAAAAAAGATATTTACAAGTTATATAACCATTAACCTCACAATAAAGTTATATGATATATAAAATAACACATAATGTAAAAAACCTGCCTTAATAAGGTATGATATTACTAATGTTTTTGTTTTTATAATGTTATGATTTTAAAGCCTAGGCCTGTGGACCTATATTTCCAATCCTAATCTATTGATAAAGATAACAATGCTCATCCTTGAGTAAAATATTTTAATTCTGGAAATTTATTGAAATCTATAAAATTCTTACCAAATATGTTTAATATGAATAAAAGAATAAATAAACTATGTATAGGTTGCTGTGTTCCATATCAAGTAAACTTGGTAATGACACTATATATTCATATTGTGACCACCTATAACATGTAGAGTTTTAAACATAGCATATCTGTTCTTGTAAATTCAAAACATGTTTTATTTTGTTTAGCAATTATCAATATTTTCTAAAATTAAATTTGTGCATAGTATATCTTCAAATTGAATAATCAACTATTAACTTAATTTCATTTTTGAGATATTAACAGTAAAGAGCCTGATCAGGTCGCATGGGTGACCCAGCTCTACAATGTTAGCAAAGGCTTATCCCTTTGATTCCAACAGATCAAAGAGGTTTAAATACCAACTAAGGCATAAAAATAGTTCAATTATTTGAACAATGTTAGTATATACCTGCACTGTGTCGGCCATCACTACTTTCAGAGCTTGGGGCTCGCACTTTCTTACCACCAGGGTCAGTTTTCTCAAGTTCCTTTTCCACTTCTAAAATACAATAAGTTACTATTTTATAACAGAATAGAATTAAAATTATACAAGATGAATATCTATTTCTGACTATGTTTTAAAGCTACATGCCTCCAGACAAGTCAAAATATTTCAAGACATTCAAACTTGAGAAAAATGTACTGATATTTTAAAAAAAGTAAAAAGAATCACCATTTAAGTAATAGTTTACATTTTATGTGAGATTTACAATTGATTATGTGATATTTATCTCCATATTTCTAGTGCGCCACTTACATAGTGAGGGCTAATTTTGCATATTTTGACCTCTTTTGGTAATTTAAATGGTTTGTAAGCACATCATGATATTTTACTCTTAAATACATTTTCAAAAATTTCATGAAAATACACAGTCCTATTTTAATGTTGAAAATATTATCAGAAAGATAATATCAATTAGTGAACAAAGAATCGGATACAGTAAATCTTGTTAACCAAGGACTCATCAGCCTTGAGGTTTCTCATATTTTCTTTTCATGTGAGCTGAGTGAGAATAAAAGTCACAACAACACCACAGTCTGTGGGTCATGCTTTTACTATGAGGAGTACCTCATATCAATTAGAGGTGAATAACTTTAGGCATGGGCGGACATTTAGGTTCAGTAGAAACATCAATTCTGCCTATATGTCTATATGAAAACTTCCGAAAAACTCTTTAATGCAGTTGGATAGCTTCCTCACAAGAAATTAACTAACATCCCATGATTGACTCAAATATACAACAGTTCAAATTAACTTACACTGATTTGATATTAATTTAAGACATTTCAATGTTAAAATCATAAAACCTGAGCTGCTAACAGTATAGAGCCTGGTCAGACTGCATGGATGTGCAGGCTGGCCTGGCTCTATACTGGTGGCAGCGTAGGTTAACTTGTTACCACAGCAAGCTATTTGGGAAAGTAAAAAAATATCGAGAGCTTACCATCGTTCACATTAGTTTTATCAAACATATTCTCTAATGACAATAAAATATCGTGAAAAGTTGGTCGGTCTTTAGGGTCCCATTGCCAACCTGAAATATATGAACACAGATTTTCATTTTAATTTTCTGTAGTGAATTTTATTGAGTACTGAGGTCAATATGACAAAATAATTTTAAGTAATAAGTATGTAAGATCTTAACTAATAACTCGGCTTTACTTCGTAATTTCTTAAAACTCTGTTTATAACCTATAACCTATATGTTTTGTGCAATAAATCATTAATGTATATATTTTGCAGGAAAAATTAATCAAAATGTAACTATTTAGAAGTATGTATCAGTAAATAAGTAAGCAATGGTACAGAAATTGACTAATGTAGATCTGAATATACAGCATGAAAAGAAAAAAAAATTAAAACATTAAAAAATTTTGGTTAATTCTCACTCTTTACATAAAATGCAATACAGTTATGAGAGTGGAATATAAATTCTTACATCTCATCATGAGCTGGTAAATGTGGGCGGGGCAACCCTGGGGCCGTTCCATCCTGTATCCCCTCTCTAACAAGTGGTACACCTCTGTGAGGTCCACCCCAGGATATGGTGACATACCATAGGTAGCTAGTTCCCATAGCAACACTCCAAATGCTGAAAGATATGAGAGAAAAAAATGTTTTGTTAATCAATAAGTAAATTAACAATGCATTTGAAAAAACTATCAATAGTAAAATGATTATTTAAGGTTTAGAGCAAAAAGCTATTTTCATTGAAGTTTATTTGTAGATAGAATCTATATATGTGAATCTGACACATTATATTTCATTAAGTCCTTCTTCTTATTTCATTATTAAAAATAATTAACTTAAATAATTAAACAAACCAGAAATGATGTTGCTGGGGTTTTGTTTTTTATTCTTTTATTAACCATTACATATTACTAAATATAACCCAGGACAGGTTAATATAAATATTCATGATGTAAAACGTGTATGTGTAAAATAAATAATTGGTGACTTGGTGACTATCCATATATCCACATTCAATAACTATTGGTATTTCCTATTAGGCTTTTATTTCATATATTTATTTTTCTAATTTACTTTATTCTATTTATTTATTCAATTATTTATATATATTTTTCAATGTTATTTATTTATTCATTCATTCATTTATTTATTTTACTTTATTTACTTATTTATTTATAAATGTATATATTCATTTATTTATTTTTTTTATTATATTTTTTTACTGTTATTTATTTATTGGGGGTGGGGGGGGGGTATTTCATAATAAACTCTCTAAAAACACATTCCTAGACACATTTAATGAGGTCTATGTGGAGTGACAACTGATGTATGATTCTATATAATGTAACTATATATATATATCACACTACCTTAGTATCTTAAAACTCAAAACAGGTCATTTCATACCCTACATTCTATATACAGAGCAAAATCCATTCAAGTTTCATTTATTCAATTAATCTCTTTGGCATTTCTGATAAGAAAACGTGCTAAAATCTACTTATATATAGCATAAAATCATTCATCGATGTCTACAACTTCCCACTTCCCACTTCAATTATAGAAAGTTATGTATTATTCAAAGTAACTGTGTCAAAAAGGGTGATAGACCAATTCTAGATCTGGGAGTGAATACTTTCCCTGAGATATACAGCAAACTTGTCTGTGATTTATCTGTTGTAATTACAGAATAGCAAATTGATTATACAAAATATGTGATACTGGGCACACTTTTAGTAAATGCCAGTATCACATTATAACAGTGCAATAACCCATGCCTTTCACAATTTGGGATTTTTGGATTTTTATCTTGATGGCCATAAGAAAACTGGGGAAAATTTAAGAAACCTGTTAAGACAATTCCATTTTTTACAGATTATAAGAATAATGTTTCTAGCAAAAATTAATAAAGACCTAAAAGGTAGGGTTTGGAGGGGAAAAATCTTCACAATAAATATTTTTTAAAATTTAATGAAAATTTCAAACAGTTTTGTCATGGGGAAAAGAATAGTGAGTGTATTTGTATACAGTGTACCACCTATCTGTTGATTTTTTTGATATTGTTTTTTTTTCCTTTTCCTTTATCATTGACTTACAATAGAAAAAGTATTTCATACAATTTTTATGACCATCCTGCCCCCATCAACCTGACCTGTGTTTTCCTTTACAATTACAATGTAAATAGGTTAATGCTAGGCATGTGAGTTCTGGCACAAATTTTTACAACATCTAAATAAAAATTCTTCTCATTTAAAAGTTTCAAAACAATAAAACATTCTCCATCTAACTGTCCCAGACAATTTTATTGTTCTTCTGGGAGGCCTGGAAAATGTTTATTAACACATATAAAAATTTAACATAGTGACATTCTCCGATAAAAAAGGACATCATTGCTTGTTTAAAATTGTGGTTTTATACAATTCAAAACCAATACGTGGAAATATTCCAATATGAAGCGAGACTTTGAAAATTCAAATTTTTCATTAAATTGAAACTGTTGGGTGTTTTTAACAGAGGTGAATGCTATGCAAATGAGGTGGATTTTAAAACAAGAATTAAAACTTGTTCATACCCCAGACACGAGATTTTGTTTTGAAAATTCAAATTTCCCATAAATTTAAAGCAACATGCCTCCAGATTCATGCTAACTTTCATGAAAATTTTGAAAATATGTTCAAAAGTAGTATTTAGTGAAATAACCAAAAGGAAAGAATTTGCACATTATCATTGGCACTTATAGCCCACGTAAATTATGAAAAAGAGGACAAATTATGCAAAAATTGCCCTTACTGCTTTAGTAACGCAGTAGAAATATAATTATAAATACTGAAAAATCAGTCATTAATCGCACAGAACATGTAAATTATTACTTGAATCTTGAATATTTTTACTTTTCCTAAAATCTTAGTACATTTTTCTCAAATTTGTTTTTATTGAAATATTTTCGCTAATGTGGAGGCATGCAGCTTTAAACAGAGGTGAAACATATGCAAAGGAAGGGTTTCTAAAGTAAGAACTGAAATTTGTTCGTACCCCAGACGTCAGATTTTGTTGAGAATCTGTTGAAAGCAAGTCCCTCTGGTGCCGTCCATTTGATGGGAAATTTAGCGCCAGCATGGGCGGTGTATGTGTCGTCCTTCATGAGCCTCGCTAAACCGAAATCGGCCACTTTTACTAAATGACTGTCTCCTACCAAACAATTTCTTGCTGCCAGATCTCTACAAACATGACAGAACAACAATCATGTAATAAACACATTGAATAATAAGGACAGATAGGTACAAAATTTCTTTTTTTCTTCTTCTTTATTTTCCCAAATATAATTAAATCTTAACATTGAAAAGAAAATATTTTGAAAAAATGCTGAAAAGCATATAATAAGGCTATGGTTAGCAGTTATAAAAGATGTTAGGTAGGTAGGCTCTAAACAGAAATAGTTCTCCTTTGGACTAACTGCCATTTTCCACCTAAATCTACAGTGATCAGCCATTATGAAAATATCTTATCCGTAACTGTTCGGTTTATATTTGAAGCTATATTTGACGGTCTTTACAAAAGATTTAAGTCTCTAGAAATATATCAAGTTTAATATACCTGTGTATAAAAAGTTTTTCTTCTAAATAAGCCATGGCTGACGCTATCTGTGTAGCCATGTACATTAATATAGTTGGTCCTATATCTTCTTTGTTGCGGCCTCGGAGAAAATCTAACAGATTTCCCTGGGTCATGAACTCTGTGACAATATAAAATGGGGGCTCCCTTGTACACACACCTGCAACAAAAAATGACTATGGTAAAACAAACTATAGGAGCTATTATAAAAGTACCCACTTTGTTTTGTTTATTTTAATTCAAGGCCTATAAACTTCTCCTTTTAATATTGCATTATTTCAAAGTTAAAACACAATATTGTGAGTTTAACACTATCATATCTGTTGAAAGAATAAAAACGTATGACAAAGGATTTAGACTGTTTTACATTTAAACTTTCCTTTGTTTAGTTTTAAGAATTTTAATATCAAAATACTAAAATCAAAAGTATATGTCTGGTCACATTGCATGGATTTAATGAACATATTGGCCAGGCTCTATACTGGTTGGTCATACTTTTGTAACTTCTGCTTCTTTTATGGACATACTGACCAAGCCAGGCTATATATTGGTGGGTCTTACTCTTAGCAAAGGTTTCCCATTTTTACTTCTCTAAAGGAAACTAGCTAAGAAAATATACAAGCATATTGATGGCAGATCATCATAATTATGTTCACCAATTTTTAATGCTTTTAAGATAAATAGATTTAATAAGGTAACAAAGGATCTCACCTAACAGTTGAACAAGATTGGGATGTTTCATAGCTTTCATGATTCCTGCCTCTTCTAGGAAATCCTTCAAGGCCATTGTGTCCTCCTAATTTAAATGGCAGAAAATACAACACAATTTACAATTCCATCCTATTCTAATTAATTACATATATAATCATGTGAAATGAAGTTTTTATCATTTGTGTAATTTTAAGCACAAACAAGAAGTTGGTAACAACAACAAACTATCTTCAAGATAACTGGGGTGGCACCCTCACATGAATTTTTTTTTCCAAATACTAATCCATAAAAGCTCTTTACTCAGCATCTTAAACCACTAGTTCTTAGAAAACATAGAACCAAGCCCGAATAATATTCTTATAGTTTATAGTGTAGACTTTAAAATCTCACTGGCATTTGTTTGAAGTTTTTATTACTCATACCTTCAGAGTTTTGACAGCAACGGTTTTATTGTATCGTTTCCACACAGCCTCGTACACATCACCATACTGACCACCACCTAACCGGTGCTTCATTGCAATCTCGGTCCTCTCTATTTCCCAGCGGTCCGGTTCCGGGCTCAAACCAAACACCGTCGGTTTTGTCCTCTTTGGTGCAGGGTAGAGTAACGTTGTAACAAGGCCGTCCGAATGTATAGAATGATGATGGACAAGTTCGGCTAACGTGTTAAATCTATGATCAACTGTCACATATACCTGGTGCGTGAAAAGATAAATAAACAAGAACTGTCGGAGGACAGTAACGCTCGACTATTTGAAAATTTGTCACAAGGGTGTTTCATTGAGTATAATAATGCTTACCTATATGAATACATAAAATTGTCCGAAAAGGTACAAACTCTTCAAGTTTCAATACATTCCCTTCAGTAGTTATGGAGAGACAAGCTTACATGCAAAAACTTAACCAAGAATTCATGAGTAGAAAAAGGGGCATAATTATGCAAAAAAGCAAATCAGAGTTATGGGACTTGTACCAATCATCTTAGATAATCACAGAGACCAAGTGTGTGAAGTTTCAATCCATTCCCTTCAGTAGTTATGGAGATACCAGCTTACACGCAAAAACTTAACCAAGAATTTCTAAGTCGAAAAAGGGGCATAATTATGTTAAAAAGCAAATCAGAGTTATGGGACTTGTGCCAATCATCTTAGATAATCACATAGAACAAGTGTGTGAAGTTTCAATCCATTCCCTTCAGTAGTTATGGAGATACCAGCTTACACGCAAAAACTTAACCAAGAATTTCTAAGTCGAAAAAGAGGCATAATTATGTAAAAAAGCAAATCAGAGTTATGGGACTTGTGCCAATCATCTTAGATAATCACAGAGAACAAGTGTGTGAAGTTTCAATCAATTCCCTTCAGTAGTTATGGAGATAACAGCTTACATACAAAAACTTAACCAAGAATTTCTAAGTCGAAAAAGGGGCATAATTATGAAAAAAAGCAAATCAGAGTTATGGGACTTGTGCCAATCATCTTAGATAATCACAGAGAACAAGTGTGTGAAGTTTCAATCCATTCCCTTCAGTAGTTATGGAGATACCAGCTTACATACAAAAACTTAACCAAGAATTTCTAAGTCGAAAAAGGGGCATAATTATAAAAAAAGCAAATCAGAGTTATGGGACTTGTGCCAATCATCTTAGATAATCACAGAGAACAAGTGTGTGAAGTTTCAATCCATTCCCTTCAGTAGTTATGGAGATACCAGCTTACATACAAAAACTTAACCAAGAATTTCTAAGTCGAAAAAGGGGCATAATTATGAAAAAAAGCAAATCAGAGTTATGGGACTTGTGCCAATCATCTTAGATAATCACAGAGAACAAGTGTGTGAAGTTTCAATCCATTCCCTTCAGTAGTTATGGAGATACCAGCTTACATACAAAAACTTAACCACAGGGACGCCGACGCCGACAAATGGGTGACTGCATTAGCTCGATTATTCTGCGAATAGTCGAGCTAAAAATTTAGAACAATTTTTTTTGGTACTAAAAACAAATCGAAGACTGATATAACCATTTTCCATGTGGCAATACCACACTGTTAATAACATCATTTTAAAAGGTAAATACATAGTGTGCTTATTTCACTCAACAATTTTCTCAAAAGATATGGTTATATAATATATTATCATTATACAATAGATAACTGAACTGACTATGAAGACTGTCAGTGACTTGATGTCATTTATAATTCAATTAAAAACATCAGAATTTTTATACCAAATATTCTTTTTGAAAGAAATTCTTGGTCATAAAAGTACATATAATTGTTATATATGTAATGCAAAAGACTTTATTCAAAGAAAATTTGTCACTTTTCTCACATACCTTTGCATCAGAATCTTCGCTAATTCTGTAGTGATAAACTCGACCCTCATACCTAACAGAGATTGACCGTTGACCGGGACTACTTTCACTCTCTCGGACAAGGAAACTTCCGTTAATACCACTGCTCAGTAAATACTCTGAGGCATTCCTGAAAACAACAAAACAAGATGCATTATCTGACTAACTGACGAAATAAGAGTCAGACAAGTAATCTAAGATCGCAAGTCACATGGGTTCAAGCCCCATCAGGGGCAAGTCCTTATTTCCTTGAGCAAGAAACCTTACTCATATAGCTCAGTACTGGCTGGTTCCAGGAATGGATTTAACAGCATGTCTATGCTCATCAGCTTATAGCTTCCTACACAATAAAACATAAATAAATTCTGAATAAACTAACAACTGATTAAATAATAACGTACCCTAGCCTTGATTTAAATTGCAATGATTTTTTATTTCCAGTGATTTTTATTTAGTTATTCATTTATTTTTTGCTCCTTTTTTTAAACTGGTCTATTTAATTGGAAAATTTTAAATTTTGAGTCAAGAAATTATGTGAAATGGGGAAAAAAATTGTCTCAACAGCAGCAAATTTTTAAATTTTTTAATAATTTGGAAATTTATAAGCTGACAACCAGGCATCAACTGTTTATCATTCAAATATACAAATTATGCAGACAACTAACAGAATGCTGCTGCTACAGTTAAGCTTATTATAGAGTTTGTATCCACTAGTTGAATGACAGCCTGACTAAGACTTAGTCACCAGCATATATCAATGCTGCTTATGAAAGCATAGAAAATGGTTTCCTGGAACCTGGCTTTCTGCAAAAACTGTGACTATAAATATATATTTGTGAAACCAGCATCATATATTGTCATGGCTATTTATAGATGCAATCTACAGTCATATGAGTACTAGAAATATGCATGGTATCAGAAAAATTCAATCATTTCGACCTTATTGTGAAGTATGCAGATAGTACCCACTGTAGCATATTTGTTCAGATTTTTCACATGTGCATTATAGTTGCATACTTTTTATTCAACCTATTAATCTATGACTAACTTGACCAGGTTTGGTGACAAGCTTATGGTGAGGGGTTCCTCACATACTTACTTAAAGAGAAATCTAACCATGGTACCAGCTAAATTAATTCAGACTTGGTGCCCGGCTTATCCTTTTCTTAACTAATAACTTACCGAGAAATCTGCCCATGGTACCAGCTAAACTTGTCCAGGCTGTTCACAGGGGCTATATAGTTGCTTGGTACCCAGCCTATCTCACCAGCCTTGTTCTTGACTTCACACCATTCCCCACCTTTGTTATACCCTAATATTGTCATCTGCTCTCCTGAAATATACAAGTGTCGATAACATTTAAAACACATGCTAAAACATTACAAACATTACCTAGAGAAATAAATCTGCCACTGTTTCACTAACATTTCAAAACTGAAATATTTCAAGCAAAGTAGAAACAGATTATTTTGTCATTTTGTGCATGGACAGTTATGGTATGTGAATTGACAAGTTTCGTATCAACATTTCTATTTTTATCTAATTGTGATGACAGCTTGAAGCATGTTTGAACCTCTCGTGAGTTCCCCTACTGGAAATAACCAGTACTGGTATCATCAAAGTAAATACGGTTGTGACACTAGAATGGCTCGAACCCATGATCCCCTGGTTGAGAGGCCGACATCTGAAACACTAGGCAACCACATTCAACGTTCATATTTGATAATGATGGACATGCACATTTGTTGGACAAAGTTTTCAGCTGTGAAACCCCTTTATTATTGACATCAAGTTTTAAACAAGGGAAAAATCATTTCTCAAAAGCATGCACAAAAAATTACTTGATTTAATGGTGGTTCAACAGATGCAATCACTAGGAAATTTCACATTAAGTCATGTTGAAATGACTGCAATTGGAACAGTTTTATCACATTTCAGTGCATTAAAGTTGGTGACCTTTAAAGCATAACTACAACTTAGTTTCACAGATCATGGCTAGTCTTTAACAGATCTATAAACTCTATGATAAGCAGGTGTTATGGGTGTAATGCTTGATCTTTTTTAATCTCTTCAATTTCATTACAGTATTTAACCCTTAATCTGCTGAATTTCTTAAATGGACTTGTCCAGGCTTCTTTTCTGGAACAGTCCATTATCTATTTAAGGGATACGTAGATGAGAACATGAAGTTGGTCAACCAACAGTACTATATAGTGCCTAATGGCCAGAATGCACAACCTTGCTCTATACTCGACTGGTGAAGGCTTCCGTTTTAGCAGTGTAACTGGATTAATATTACTTAATACCAATTAATTCATAATTTTTAACTTGGTTCACATGCCATGCTTATTTTGCTTTAACATAATTATTCACACTGCTACAGTTGGTCTTTAACACACTTAATTATGATAATATATACTTTTTTTAGTCTAATGGTTTCTTTTTTAACATACTACATAGTACATTGTATAACATATATAATATACATGTATATCTCCTTATTTGATCAACCATCCGTAAAAAAAACAATAACGAGTAAAGCAGAAAAATGTATAGCCCAATTACAATATTTTACATATTTTCATGAAATATTTCTTACATCGCATGTTTACACTCTTCAATATTTCATACGGTCCTTATCTTATCTAACAATCATAAGTTTTCAGTTATGTTTGCCAAATTTGGGTAAATGGGCGATAAAAGGTCATCAATTTGTGGGCACTTAACCACAAAATAGGCAAAACCAGGTGTGAAATATAACTGTGGTGAACGAAGCGATGCTTTATTGTGGGAAATACGTTTGACGTAGCGCAAATAATTTTTACACAGTCATACCATATCTAGCATGTCACAAGGTCATTATTATACTGGTATAGACCGACTTTTTATACACACCTGCTATTTAACCAAAATAGTGTGTCTGAGCATGTCTAAATAATCTTTTTCTTGTATACATTATCAGGAACAATGCTGGATAATTGCACAACAAGTCGATATTTTTAACTGTTCAATTCTTGTAGATAAACGAAAGTATTAAATGATCACCCTGATGAAGGAAATGAGGATGTCTGTGATAAAGATGATGGTGATGATGTTGATGATGTTGATGATGATGATGATTAGAGCTTGTTAGTTGATGGGAACGAAAATGACAACACTGAAGACAAAGAACTGAAGAAGATGATAGTGATGATGATTATTATGATGATAAATTTTTCATTTTTATGATGGTTATAATTATTATGATTGATAATAATTATATTATGATAATTATGTGACTATGTAGGTATCATTACGAAAATTCTTAGAATTAAGGATCTGAAATTTTGCACACAAGTCATGTTATTGGTAAAGACCTTCACCAAATTGAACACAAGTCTAGAAAAAAAAAAACTTCCAATCACATCCTATCATTTAAAACCTCAGTAGAGTCCAATGGTAATGATGTTCAAACTCAATATGCTGTATAAAACGAGGCGTCAGCTATTGGCCGTTATTCAAATAAAACATCTCTGAACCATCAATGGAAGGAAATGAAACTAAAATATAAAATACAACCTTTTTGAAATATCATAATACAACATCATAAAAACCACGATACTTCAATAAACATTCATATATACCAACACCAGCCACTTTTTACGCCATCCAAAGAAAATATAACAGTCTATAAATCATCATCGGGGATGGACGATATTGTTTTATAACGTGGGCGTTTAAAGTCAACTAATTTAAAGTTAGGATTACCCTAGATGTGATAAGACAAATATCCACTTTAAGGATATGTGTGGTATAGTAGTACACTATTGTAAAATCTCAACCGACTTAAATTAATATTGATGGGCTAATGCCAAGATTTTTTCGGTGATGTTCGATTTTTGTCCAATTTTAATGACTGCTGTACAGTATAAGTTAAAGACTGGGGAAAAAAAATGAGTCATACAGTTTTTATCAAATTACTGATATAAATTACAAAGGACAATAAATAATGGCTATTCTTCTTGAAAAAGAAAAGTAATATTCTTTAAGTACAAGGTTTCACTACATTTCTTACGTTTATGAATGTAACATAAAATTTCATTGATAAATTTACAAAAGGCAGGGCGGGCAAAATTTGGTTTAGACTTACTTAAGGCATTTCTTAACCTGTCCATCAATATTTATATAATATAGTTAATTCTTAAAAATTCCCACTTGTCGGGGAAAACCTTGGCAATTCGGACAATTGATTTTGCCTGAAGAGGTGTACACCATAAATAAATGTCATTTAATAATAATTCTGAACAGTAATTAAAATTGACTTTTCTTAAGTTTCTTTTGTTTGGTTTTAGGGGGCACCAACACAACTTGATTTTTCTGACTTTATTCTAATTTTCAAATGACCTTTTATATTATCAAAGGGTTGGTAAGAAACAAACTTGTTAGTTGTAACAGTTACTATTCTTTATGTTAGTTATACGTAAGAAATGTCTTTATTTCATGCTATTAAATGAAATACTGAACATTCAAAATGAAATATAATCTATATTGCTCATTTTTAATATAAGTCATTCAAGATATGTATTGGTTCTCAATAAGATACAAAACATCTAAATAAACTAGAACTGCCACTATCATGGCGTGAATACCCCCGCATACCACTTTGTCAGAATCAACAGTGGCCATTTAGAGCTCAAGGACAACCTCCCTGCCAAATCTGAGGTTACTAAGCCAGTGCATTGCTAAGTTATGTATTCTACATGCTTCAAATGTGAAAATGTCAAAATCAATACATTGCGGACAGGACATTCTTTAGCAATTGAGAAGAAAAGCTTTTTTTTGTCAAGGTCCCTGTGACCTTGACCTTTGACCCAGTGACCTCAAAATCATTCGGGGTCACCTTATAGTCATGATCAACATCCATGCCAAATATGAAGACTGTGGGTCAAAAGGAATCTTAAGTTAATGGGTGGAAAAACTTTTTGAAGTCAAAGTCCCTTCATGATCAACATCCATGCCAAATATGAAGACTGTGGGTCAAAGGAATCTAAAGTTATTGGGCAGACAAACTTTTTAAAGTCAAAGTCCCTGTGACCTTGACCTTTGACCTGGTGACCTCAAAATCAATAGGGGTCATCTACTAATCATGACTAACCTCCATACCAAATATGAAGACTAAGGGTCAAAGGAATCTTAAGTTATTGGGCGGACAAGCTTTTTGCTGAAGTCAAGGCCCCTGTGACCTTGACCTTTGACCTGGTGACCTCAAAAGTCAATAGCGGGTCATCTACTAATCATGACTAACCTCCATGCCAAATATGAAGACTGTAGGTTCAAAGGAATCTGAAGTTATAGGGCGGACAAGCTTTTTTGAAAGTCAAGGCCCCTGTGACCTTTTGTAACCTTTGACCTAGTGACCTCAAAATCAATAGGGGTCATCTACTAATGCATGACTAACCTCCATGCCAAATATGACGACTGTAAGGGTCAAAGGAATACTTTAAGTATTGGCGCGACAAGCTTTTTTGGAAGTCAAGGCCCTTGTAGGGCTTAGACCTTTGACCTAGTGAACTTCAAACATCCATATAGGGGTCATCTACTAATCATGACTAATCCTCATCAGGGCCAAATATAAAGGCCCTGGGGTAAAAAGGAATTTTAAAAGTTTTTGGGGCGGACAAAAAAAAAACCAAACGGACGGACGGCCGGAGGGAAAACGGACAGCCGGACGGAAAAAGTGTTTTCCAGTAAAACCCCCTTAAAAACTTTTTTTGGGGCGGGGAAATATTTTAATTAAGTTTAAACTTTTTTACAATGAAATCTACCTTTCCCTTTATGTCCAAAAACAAAACAAATTTGTAGCTAAATTTTCCCAAGTTTTTAAAAAAAATTGACCAAGCCCTTAAAATAAATTTTTAAGGGGTAAGGGTTTTAAAATTTCCCAATTTTTCGTTTTTAAATTTTTTTGAATTTATAATCAAAGTCATAAAATTGCTAAAAATCGGGTTTCCCACTCACGGGGCCCTAGAAAAGTGACATGATTTATAAACTGCAAATTTCCATTATTTAAAGTTTGACAAAAAAAATAATATAATATTTGTTTAATCTATATAATCCTATGTAAAAATCAAATTTTGAATTTTTATTTTTTATAACCCCTGTGAAAGGGGCCTTTAAGTTTTTTTTGTACAAATGAGCATTTAAAAAAAGAAGCCCACTGAAAGTTTATAATTTTTAAATAAATTTTAAAATCCCTAAAAAAGGCCTTTAAATGGAAAATTGAAAATACTGCAGGCTCTGTTTGATAAACCCAAAAAAGTCCGAAAGACGGGAAAGAGTACGGGGCAATCCCCT